AATAAATAGAGTTGAATCTCCACGTCTAACTTTTCTCAAAAAGTACATTATTTACATAAAAACTCAGACCTTTTCCAGAATTTATGTCATTAATTATCTCATGATTCATTTTTATTTTTAAAACAAAGTATTCTAATAAATCTGTGATTCTTAACTCAGGTTCTATCAGTTTTATTTTGTTTTATTTTATCGTTTTAAAGTGCTGCTGAGGTTTTATTGTTGTCACGACTCCTCTGCACCAATAATAAAGCTGAAACATAAAGAAGTTATTATTGAGATGGACGATGGGTTTAATGTGGAGCAGAGGCCTTAAATCAAATTCTGTTTATTGAACCAGTTCTCTTATTAAAGATGCAGAAATAAACTCAAACTTTATGACAAGCAAGTTCTAAATATAGAGATTATTAATGAAAAACAAATCAACTTTATTCAGAATTAAAGCATTTTTAAAGCTACTTCCTGCAAAATCATGAAGACCAGACTAAAATTAATTCATAAAGTAGAAAACCAACGTTTTAATTAAAAGTATTTAATCCATCAGATACTTCTGAGTTAAATAAAAGATTTGGTGATGTTTCAGAATCAAAACAAATCCTTCTGAAATGTCAGGTCGTGTTTTTCTGTAGCATTCAGTAGCTGYGGTCTCAAACAGCCGAAGTTAAGCTATCAGAGCAGCCGAAGTCAGGCTGATTGAGTCAGCAGGTCTTCAGATAGCCTCATTCAGTCACACACAGACACAAGAAAACATCCAAACAGCAGATTTTTATGCCCCAATAAGCAGAGATTTAACAGATTCTTACCGTAAAACGTTTTAAAATGCTGTGAAGACGATGAAAACTGGGAAATTTAAATAAAAATGATAAAAGGTAAAAGCCAGAGCACTCGTCTCCTGAAAGAGCTGAACGTTTTGATTTATGAAACAGTGTTGGACATATTTAAAAGAAAAAAAAATGTCTTCTGTTTGACCGGCAGGACTCATCCATGGACGAGCTGAGCGATGTGGACAGTGAGACCAACTTCCCTCTGATGATCCCTCAGGACCACCTGGGTCTGGCCTTCTTCTCCATGCTCTGCTGCTTCTGGCCTCTGGGCATCGCAGCCTTCTACCTGTCCCAGAAGGTACGGGGCAGGGACAAGCGTGTCCCCTGAGACTGAAGGGACACGTTTTATTTTGAAGGAATCTTTAGGATTTATTACACTAACAGTAATTTATTGGATGATCTCAGATCTTTGCTGGATTTATTWTGTGTTTCTTAAAGAACTCTGGAGTTGATTTATTGTCCTTTTTACTCTTTCTTTTACATTATGGAGATTAAATCCTGATTCTGTCAGATTATTTTAGCGTTAAATTATTTAGCACACTGTTCTTACATTTGTAAATTAAAAAAATTCATTAGTTAGCAAAAGTTAACATCCGATAACCAGCATGATGTCATCATCCTGCGACAAACAACAATGGTCACCGCTAGTCGCTGCTAATACTACTAAAGATGTGTTGATAAAAAACAACATGGGTGGTCCCTGTGGTCCAGCAGTTTGGGGTGCAGCTCAGACACCAGCCAGAACTGCAGCTTTGATGTCTTGTAGCTTTAGCTGCACTGGAGCTAGCGGTTGCTATTGTCTCAGGATGATGACATCACAACATGAGCCGAGCACCAACGGCAAAGGCTGCGTTCCATTCCGAAATACCTAAATGTGAACTTCAGCATGTAAGGTTTAACATTTAGATTTAGATTTAAACATTTAGATTCAATATTTAAATACATTTTAACATTTAAATTTAACATTTAGTAAAAATCTGCGAAATGTAAAAAACAGTAAAAATCAAAAAGTGCGCTGAATAATGAAAAATATGTCAGTAAACAATTCCAACATTTAATTTTACATTTTTTTTATCCTGAAACTTCATTTAAAGTTTGACCAGATTTTCTCTGAATAAAATATAATCTGATTTTAAAGTTTGAAAGCTGGGGGGAGATGAGCGTTGCTTCAAAGAAAGTTAGCTTTTTTAGATTAAAATCTGTTTTTATTGCAGGACTTCTGAGACTTTATCACCACGTCTTTAAAGCGACCTGGCTTCAGTTAATTGTCTCCTTCGTTAAGGTTTAATTAGAGCCGTAATAAAGAACTTTCATGAGGCTGAACTGCAGGAGGAAAAACGATGAGGCTGAACATAATGTGGGATTAGTGATTGGACTGAGAGGAGGAGGGAAAAATGATGACTTCTTTGTTTTTTTGGACTAATCCTCCTCTTTGTTTTTCAGACCAACAAGGCTTCGGCTCAGGGGGATTTTCAGGGGGCCAACGCGGCCTCCCGCCAGGCCCTGTGGCTCTCCGTGCTCTCCATCGTGTTCGGGATCATCACCTACATCTGCGCCGTGTCTGCGCTCATCTCATACCTGTCGGCTAAACCGCCATAAGAGGCGCCTGCAGGCTCCACAGACAGCCTCATCTGTAAAATTATCCTTCATCAACCTGATGTTCTTCACTCACAGAAGCTTCGCTCAGCCTCACCTGGTTTTAGGTGTAAATAAAAAACAACCTTTAAAGAAGTGATCACCCCTGGGAATAACTCTGACAGCACTTCCTCTACAGTGCCAACATAAATACAAATGCAAACAATTTAAAACATCAAATACAAGATTTTAGACAACGAGAGCAAACCTGAGGGAAAAGTGCCAAAAGCATCCAAACAGCCCAGATGTTCTGTCCTTGTGTAAATACAGAAACCCTCCAGAAAATGCCTGCTTCAGACAAAAAATAAAAATAAAATAAACTTGTTATTTTGTTCTAATAAGAAAAAGGTTGAAAATAACTGACAAAAAGCTGTCTGCATGGCAGGCTAACAGAGTGTTAAAAGACTGAAATAAAACATTTAATTTATAGAAAACGACTCAAAAGAAAACAGCTCTGTGAGATTTTTAACTAACATGAAAAAAACATCAGCTACAGAAATGTACAGATTAAAGGTAAAACTATTGTTTTCTACAAACAAATGGTTTTATTGGTGCAACAATTATAAAACAAAAATCTGAACAAACAAAATTTTTATTTCTGTTTCACAGCTATAAAACCAGAAATCATTCAACATCATTAAATATTTTACTTCGCAATATTTAAACTGATTTGTTTTTGATCCATTGTTACATTTTGTTTACATTAACCTGATGAACTCAGTGTTTAAAACATATTATTTTTGTGTGATTACATCTTAACACCTGCTGTTACAAAAGGCAGGTGATGATGTAATTAACAGAGGAACTTTATTCAAACTCAGAAAGTCATCATCTGTTGAACGTCTGGTTAAATATCTCAGCCTGATTCAAGATGGCCGCCGAAGCTGCTCAGTCATTTTTACAGGTATTGAGCTAAACTTCAGTGTGGTAGTAGCTGAGGGTCCTCCCTGACAAACACACAGAGCACCAACAGATCAAACCGTTCTTTAAAACTTTGGATGTGACATTTATTTTCTCAGAGCAGCGATGCAAAGTGCAACAAAAACTGATTTTCTTTAATGAAAAGGATCAAATCCTGTCGGTTTGTTCAGCTTCAAACCTCCTGATCCTTCATGTCTCCACAGATCCATCATGTCTTCACAGAACCTTCATGTCTCCACAGAACCATCATGTCTCCACAGAACCTTCATGTCTCCACAGAACCATCATGTCTCCACAGAACCATCATGTCTCCACAGAACCTTCATGTTTCCACAGAACCTTCATGTCTCCACAGAACCTTCATGTCTTCACAGAACCTTCATGTCTCCACAGAACCTTCATGTCTCCACAGATCCATCATGTCTCCACAGATCCATCATGTCTCCACAGAACCTTCGTCTCCACAGAACCATCATGTCTCCACAGAACCTTCATGTCTTCACAGAACCTTCATGTCTCCACAGAACCTTCGTCTCCACAGAACCATCATGTCTCCACAGAACCTTCATGTCTCCACAGAACCTTCATGTCTCCACAGAACCTTCGTCTCCACAGAACCATCATGTCTCCACAGAACCTTCATGTCTTCACAGAACCTTCATGTCTCCACAGAACCTTCGTCTCCACAGAACCATCATGTCTCCACAGAACCTTCATGTCTTCACAGAACCTTCGTCTCCACAGAACCATCATGTCTCCACAGAACCTTCATGTCTTCACAGAACCTTCGTCTC